TGATTCAGGTGAACTTTTGAAGATGCTCATCATGATGCTACACTCTTTTGGCCTGTTTCTAAGGGCTTGTAGTTTGTGTTATTTGTTTCAATCAATATTTACTTTAGATAGACACCATATGGCTCTCAGGCCGGTTTCATACATCTCACATCTGCAGCACTTAAATGTATATGTTACAGGAACCAAACTAAAAGTTTTCAACATTCAGTTTAAGCAGTCTACAGCTAAAGTCTGGGTTCATCATTTTCATAACCAACTTCTGATACCAAATTTAAACAGCCATAATCAAAGAAAATGTTTTTAATGGCCAACGCAAATACAGTGTGGCAATATATTGCTCGTATATACAGTATACAGGTATAATCCAATTTAATTATACCAAATCATACATTTAATTTAATAATTTACTTTAATGATGCTCATACATTATTTAACCAACATTTACTCCAAATTCACAAAAAATACAAAAGTTTGGGAGGTTTGAAAGTAGTCTCTTATGCTCACCGAGGCTGCATTTATTTGCTCAAAAATACAGTAAAAACAGTAATATTGTGAAATATTATTTCATTTTAAAATAGCCATTTTCTATGTCAATATATTTGAAAATATAATTTATTCCTGTGAAGCAAAGCTGAATTTTCAGCATCATTTCTCCAGTCTTCAGTGTCACATGATTCTTCAGAAATCATAGTAATATGCTGATTTGCTGCTCACTGAAACATTAATTATTAATATCAATGTTGAAAACAGATATTTTTGTGGAAACCCTGATACATTCTTGATGAAAACGTTTCAAAAACGTTTGTTTCAAAAGAACAGCATTTATTTGAAATTTGTAACATTATAAATGTCTGTATTGTCACTTTTGATCAATTTAATGCATCCTTGCTGAATAAAAGTATTCATTTCTTTAAAAAGAAAAAATTCTTACTGACCCCAAACTTTTGAACTATTTTAAAATGGCCAAATATTGGGAGATTCAGCCTGGTGTCTAATATATCAGTCTATCACTACTTACATGACAAATAAAGCGATCAGAGTCTTACTGAACAAACTGAAGTCATTCTGGTTTTTGAGGTTGTATTCTCATGCTGACGTTTCTGAATGAAGATGCAAGAAGTACCGTTTTTCTCTCTCTGCAGGCCCGTGGTCGAGGAAGAGCGGAGGACAGTAGTTACACGCTGGTGGCGGAGGCAGGATCTGGGGTGGCAGAGAGAGAGAGTGTTAACGAATACAGAGAGAAAATGATGAGCACAGCCATCGCCAAAGTGTGCAAGATGAATCGAGCCGACTACGAGAAGAAAGTGAGAATCTACTTCAATAAATACACTCCAATATACCTCATATACTCTTAAAAGGAACGTTATTTGGTTTTGTGTAGACCAGAGAGTTTCAGATGCAGGCCATAATGGAGGAGAAGGTGAAGATAAAGAAGAAACAGAAGAAGGGAATGATGAAAGAACCGCCGTCTAAAATCAGCCTGAGCTGCAGGCAGTGCAGTGTGTTCGTGTGCTCTGGAGAAGACATTGAGAAGATAGAGAACATGCACCATGTCAATGTCACAAAGCAATTTAGGTAAAAACCCACAGTCACAAATACTTTTTTTCTTCAGAAAATCCAGAAATATGTACACTGATGATACAAATCATGTTTATTCTGCATGATGATGGTGGTGGTGAAGACAGTAATAAATCAGTAAAAATAAATGTTGTTGATGTCTGCAGTAAGCTGTTTACAGTCCGAGAGAATGCATCACTACAGGAGCGACTCCTGGACTATGAGACCAATGGAGTCATTGCGTGCAAAAACTGCGGACAGGTGCGTGCTGACTTCAGCTCTTCCCTTCCAATAAACACTCTTTGCATTACTGCTGAGCATAACAGTGGTTTGGTTTTGGAATTCCGTTCGACTCGCTCTCAAAAACATTACACAACTGTGAACTTCATATAACCACGATAATGCAAAAAACTTCCTTAGCTTAAATGAATAGTTCACCCAAAACTGAAAATTTGCTACACATTGTAAAATTTGCTGAGTTAGTATATACATCTGAACAGATTTGGAGAAATGCAGCATTCCATCACTTGCTCACCAATGGATCCTCTGCAGTGAATGGGTGCCGTCAGAATGAGAGTCCAAACAGCTGATAAAAACATCACAATAATCCACAAGTAATCCACACCACTCCAGTCCATCAGTTAATGTCTTGAGAATCAAAAATCCATCCAAATCCATCATTAATGAATTTTTAACTTCAAAGCATTGCTTTCAGCTAAAATATGAGTCCTTTATCCATAATATTGCTTTCTCCAGTGAAACAATTGTCTTGTCTAAAACATCTTAATGATGGATTTGTTTCTTACAAACACGCAGCTTTCCACTTCACACCACATTAACTGATGGACTGGAGTGGTGTGGATTACTTGTGGATTATTGTGATGTTTTTATCAGCTGTTTGGACTCTCATTCTGACGGCACCCATTCACTGTAGAAGATCCATTGGTGAGCAAGTGATGTAATGCTACATTTCTCCAAATCTGTTCCCATGAAGAAACAAACTCATCTACAACTTGGATGGCCTGAGGGTGAGTAAATCTTCAGCAAATTTCATTTTTGGGTGAGCTATTCCTTTAAGATCTACAAAAATGTTTACAAAAAACAATGCAATAAAAAAGCTTAATATAAGGCTAGGCAATATATTTATAAATATATGATTAAAATATGATTAAAATGATATTAAAATGATGTATGCATTAATAAATTTAATGATATGCAATATATCTTTTGATATTTATGTATTTGATTTGAAATGTCAAAAACTCGTTTTCAAAGTAGCCAAGTAGATTCAAGTTTCTTGATACAAGAAGTGAAATTTAGTTAAATATAATCAGGACATGTTTCCAAAGTTTCACAGTAAAGTTTCATGATGCTGTGCAATTTTATACAGGCAACAGAATAATTGCAAATGAATAGTAAAATACTTTAGATATCACCCAGCCCTCTATACATCATACAGTATGTATTTTCTTTAATATGCATTCATTTTAAATCTTACTTTTTTGTCTCGTTCCTGAGCAGCAATGGGGCTCGATGATGCTGTATAAAAGCATCGAGTGTCCCTGCCTCCATATCAAGAACTTTGTGGTCACATACGGCTCCAAGAAGAAGACGTTCAGCAAATGGAGCGAGTTGCCCATAAAGTTCCCTGCGTTTGATTACACTCAACACGCCGATCTCCTTGTAGAGGACTCCGGGGAAGAAGACATGGAAACTGACTGAAAATAAAGAGCAGAAGATATTCAATCTCATCTCTGACACAATCAATCAGATGTCATAACCTGTAAAATGATGCACCTACCAAGTCTGTTCTACTGCAAGCACTGGCACTTCTCAACATGATGAGCGTCAATGGAAGCTTTCATTTCCATCATTTATTTCATCTCAAGTGGCACTTTTGAAATTCTGATTCTAATGCACTTTTTATCTCACAATTCTGAGTTTACATCTCGCAATTCTTTTTTTTTTCGCCATGGATTAAAAAATAAATTTAATTGTGACTTTTTCTCTCAATTCGGACCTTTTTCCTTGCAATTTCAAGTTTATGTCAAGTTTAATTTTGACTTTTCTTCTCAGAATTACATGTTATATCTTGCAATTGTGTGTCAACATCTTACAAATCTGACTTTATATCTTGCAATTCTGATATTCCTCCAAATTGTGAGATAAAATGTGGCAATTACCTTTTTTTTATCCCTTAGCAGAAATGGGCTTCCATAGAAGTCGTTGTAATAAAGCCCAAAAAAAGTGTTTGCATCAGCACCACTCATTAGCAAACGACATTCACTAAAACTGCACTGAATTAAGTCATTTTGATTTATTTTACAGTAAGGGCTTTGTTTTGCTCTGTAACATTTAATGTATGTGGAAGCAGTGAAGCTGTACAATCGCAGTCTGTCACAAATACTGATTTTGTGAGTGTTTCTGTACATGTAGATTTACTCTAGAGGATATCGTCCAGCATGCTATTTGAAGTAAACAATTAAAATGACCCTTTATGTGTCATCTGTTTTCTCTTTCTCACATGAACAGTCTTTGATTATGAATCATGCATTCATAAAAAAAAGAGATGGACGATCAGGGACGAGAGTGACGCATACTTTCTCAAACACCTGTTCAGCTGTTCTCAGGAGGACACGGGCTCCCATCGAGCAAACATCACCTGAGAAAACCTGTCGGGAAACCGGCTCTTATTATGCATGAATGCAAGTCCTGAACGCTCAACAAGTTTTTCCAGTGTCAAAGTACTTCCTTACCTGACAAATGCTTCAATTCATTCCTTAAACATATACGTAATCAGTCAAAATTTGGACACACCTACACTTTATTTTTTGTGATTATTTTCTACATGTTGGAATGATAAATGCTAAAATAGTAATATAGTAAATAGTAAAATGCTAAAATATATACAAATATAAATTTTATAGTATATATATATATATATAATTATGCACATTGTAAATATGCATGTAATATTTATATTTACAAATATTTTTGTACCTAAATAAATCAAGGTTTTCCGAAGCGTGTGCAAAGTTTTGACTAATTGTAACTAAATTAACAGGCAGTAAAAGAAACATAAAACTTATTATCCAGTATTAATATTATCCAGTGTTTGTTGTTACGGCTGCACCTATAATTAATTATATTTAACAATTTGTCGAAAATTTCCACAGTTCTACTTGCATGCATATTTTGAAAACTGTGATATAAATCCATTTACCAAAAAGCATGGATGCTCTAAACTGAAAGTGTGCAGTGCAATCCAAAACTCTGACATCAGAAAGCCTGTGATTGTTTTTTTTTTTTTCGTTCTGAAGACTAGTTATGTAAGAAAGTTTCCAAAGAAAATTTATGACGTAAAATGAAAAATATTTAACACTCTCCAATATTATAGGTGACTGAAATGAAAGCAAGTCTGTATTAATTTGATCTCTTCCAGTCAACGCAGACCGGTTGTGCTAACTTCGACAGTCACAGCTGCTGAACTGAAATAGAACAGAGTTATAGGCGCTCACGGAGGGAAGCACATAGCTTACTAAACGCACTCCGATGGGAAGTTGCGCGGAATGCTGATTCTAAGGAAGTTTTGCTACAATTCCTTCACTCCAGACTCAATGATGCATCGGAGGAAGTACATTTTTAACCTGGAAAATTGCAATCGGACGAAATAAAGCGCAGCGGTCTGTTCAACTCTTGTCACGCGGACAAAAGTGACCGAGGATCTGTTTAAGGACAAACATATTCAGCGTCAGAGGACTCCTGGAGATTGGATGCGCTTTTTAGAAGTTCCTGCGCAATTATGGTCAGTAGGCTTCGGTGTTGTTTTCATGAGGATGGTTGTTTTGTACTAAAAAGTTACTTGGGTTAAAAAAAAAATTATAAAGTTGGGTGTGTCAGTTTGAGCTCAGCTTCTGTGATACCTTGCGCAATTAAAACTTGTTTTAAGACAATACCTTCATCTGAGGTGATCTGTGAAGCGCAGTGTTTTTGGCCTCACCTGTAGGGCTGTAATAAGGTGTGCGTGGCGCTGGTCGGGGCGCTTGTCGTCATCACGCTCATCATTATTCCCACGGCAATTTACGTAAACAGTGAGTGGCATCTTCTTCATCATCTCATCTGAAATTTGAACTAATTTATTAGAAATCACTTAAAAGTGTCTGTACATCATAACCTAGTAAGCGAGACTTTGTATTAAACTTGCTATTTCTTGGCACTACTGTTCTGTTTAATAAGGAAGAGACGGTTAAACATGAATTCACCTTGGTATTTTAGTAAGATTCAAGTCATTAAGCAATCATGTAGAGATAAATGACAAACAATCGTAATTCTTCATTAGAATCTTCAGGTCATTTTCGCGGTTCGATCGATAATGTTCGTGTCTTTAACATCAATTTCTCAACAACTTATTAAACAGAACACACTTAAATATTTTCTTCTTGTGATGTGTAAATCTATAATATAGTAAAAAAAATGTTGAAAAGGCATTTTCAAACATCGCAATCTCAAAAGTTTAAAGTTAGTCAGGAAATTGCTTATAGGTGAAGACGTAACCATAGCAACAGCTGCTCGATCGCTGTCTGTTTAGGAAGGTAAATAAATAAACCTTAAAACTGTCATAATTGATCACGTTGTAGATTTACTTGTCACTTATAACTGCAATATATTTTACAATTTTGTTATATGTAGGCTATATTTAAAAATTGAAAAAATAAAAAATAAATATATATATATATATATATATAATCTATAATATATTAAAGCATTTTTGTCTGAACTGTTGAAGACTAAAACTGTTTTCCTTCACTGTGTTTTCAGGAGATGAGTCTGCATTAAAGAGAACTTATTCTTTTTATGATTTTTACAATGATACCATCAGGTATAAAACATACAGTATCCACTGGATATCAGGTAGGACACCTAAAGCGCTTCACATGGTCCCTGTTTTTTTTTCCTGATGACCTCTAAATCACCCTGTCACATATACTCTGCTGTCTTATTTTCCACCAGACAATGAATACCTCCACAAAACCAGCGAAGGCCATATTTACGTGCACAATGCTGAAACGAAGGAAAGCTCAATGTACCTGAGCAACTCAACATTTGTAGGTTGCCTCATATGAGGGTTTGAATGCCTCTCCAGACATTTCTCATTAAATAGTCTCTAATATTTCATTATCTCTTTTCTTACATCTTTTATTCATGTTTAACATGCATGTAAATTCCACTTATTTACTGTGAATTGATTTACAGGCCCAAGTGGATGCCACAGATTACATATTGTCAGCAGACAGAAAGTTTGTCGTCTTTGAGAGCAATTACTCAAAGGTAACTTGACTGCAATAAAACTAAAAACACTTCATAATTGAACACTAATACGGTGCATAAGTGACTCATGCTGATGTTTCTAACACGTGCTTGAAATGCATCAACAGCTATGGCGACACTCCTTCACTGCATCCTACCATATTTACAACATGGAGTCTCAGTGAGTAAAGATGTTCCTATGATGGGTCTATCAAAATATATACAGTTTCCATGTGCATGGAAAACTTATATCATTCTGAAATTGTGATTTCCAGACCTGGGGAAGTCCTGAAAATGTTTCAGTGTATTTCAAACTCACTCACATAGATATTGTTCACTCTCAGAAAAAAAGGTACAAAAGTTATCCCTGGTGCAGTACATTTTTAAAAGGTACACTTTTGTACATTATTTACCCCTAAATGGTGCATATTAGTACCTTAAAGATACATAATACCTAACGTGTATGTATTAGTACCTAAATGGTACATATTAGTACATTTTGCCCCAGCACCCCAGTGCCAACCTTTTGTACTTTCTTTTTGTTTGTTTGTTTCTGAGAGTGTTCAGTGTGATTGAGTTTAGGGGAAAATGTAATCTAAGAAAATGTTTTGTTTCATTGTAGACTTTACATTAGTAATTATTATAGTTTGACTATACTAATTCCAACAATTGATGATGTTATTCATACTTTAATGTGTCTTGTTTTCTGTTGGATTCAGGGAATTTCTCTCCAAGGTTCAGATTCCACCTGTAACACAGTTCTTAGTGTGGGCACCAATAGGAAATAAATTGGTGAGTTACAAACAGTAAGGCATAAAAAAACCATACAGATCATAACAATCACCCAATTATTATATTATTGGAACGCTCTAGTTTCCCCAAATCATTGCAACTAAAAGAAGAGTTTTTAACAAGCTCACCTAGGATTTCCATCATGACAAAAACATATTTTTCAGCAGCTTTTCTTATTCTTCTTTGTTTTTTAATACATTTTCAATCTTTTTTTTTTTTTTTACATTTTATCGTTACTTTTATTTATTTGTTTTAATTTTATTTATTGTTAATTTTATTTATCTCATGCATCGGTTATGATTTTTATTTTAGCCTTTTTAATGTTTATTTTATTTTAAAAGGGATCGTGCACATGAAGTGACATGAGTACTTGTGTTGTTCATCATGTAAATGTGCAAGATTTAGACATACAGACTTATTTTCATATGCAGACCCAGGTTGATCGTAAGAAAAGGAAGAGAAAAAATGTGTTAAAAATAAAAAATATGGTTTTAGAGGTTGATGGTAAGAAAATAAAGAGGAAAAAAAAGCATTAAAAAATAAAAATATGGTTTTAGATGTACTATATAAATCAATTAGCCTTGCCTTTCCTTGCCTAGCTTTGGTTCGAGAAGCTTTTGCTATAAGCAAAATTCTGGTTTCATCACTAAACCTCAGAGCTTATGGAAGATTACTTTTAAAAATCTGTTTATCAAATGAATGGTATATTTACTTCTAGATCCCCTCTGTTGTACTTCAATGAGTAAGCTATAACATAGAGGACCTTAGTGTGGCCCCCGATGTCATGCAACCCAATATATTCTGAAAGAAATGCTGTTTAACGATGGCAATCAAACAACATTGCAGTTGAGCCTTATTATTTTGTGTTAATCCGCAGGCTTACGTCTGGGAATATAATATTTACCTCAAAAAGGACGCCACTGCTGAGGCCGTACAAGTCACTCACAATGGAAAAGTCAACGAAATTCACAATGGGGTTCCAGACTGGGTTTATGAAGGTAACGTCATATAATGCATTCACACACACAGACATTCATTCATTCATACCTGCTAACCTGCTGCTTTTCGTGCCGGACAGAGGAAGTTTTTGCATCCAACGAAGCCATCTGGTGGTCTCCGCAGGGGAAATATCTGGCTTACCTACAAATCAATGACACTGGAGTTCACAACATTGAATACTCATTGTATGGAAATGACCAGTATCCCACCACAGTATTTATCCCCTACCCAAAAGTGAGCAAACATCCCAGTGATTTTACTATTTAATTTGGTTTGAGTTTATAACTAATGCTTTGGACACACAAAAGCATATTTTCATATTTCAATATTATAATTTTGTTGAAAATCCATACATTTGCAAGGTGAAACATTATTGGTCCTGTTGGCCCAACTGTCTGTGGTTTTCTAACTGAACTAATTTCAAATCCTGTGTGATGACAGCTTGATCTCTGCTATTCGCATTTTACAATATCATTTTGCTACTAAACTGTTGTTCTGCTTACAAAGGCAGGCTGTGTTATTCCCAGAGCAAGGCTGTTTGTGATTGACGTGGAAAATCCATCCAAACAATCAGAAGTGGTGGTACCGAAATCTGTCGGATCAGGGTGTGTCCGTCTTATGTTTCTATTTTCACATTTTCACACAAAGCCTCACATCTGAAACATAAGCAATGTTATTTTTATTGCTCGTTTCCCAGCGATCACTATCTGAGAACAGTCACCTGGGTCACAGATGAGCGTCTAGCTGTTCAATGGCTGCCACGCCGACAGGACAGCGTCCTTCTGCAGATCTATGACTATGATGGCACCAACTGGAAAGAAACCTCGGTGAGTTTCTTTCTTCTGTTGAACAGAAAAGATATTTTGAAGAATGTTGGTAAACGGACAGTTGACGGTAGCCATTTAATCCTATGGTAATTTTTTTCCATACTATGGAAATCTGTGGCTACCAGCAACTGTTTGTAAATGATGACAAAAATTAAGCGTTAGCGTTAGTTCTGGCAGGTCACGTGAGTCAAGCTTGCATCAGCTGATTTTCAGCTGATCACATCTACCTATAGGAATACGACACCTATCACGGCATTCCTATATAAACTCTGTTCAGTATTATTCAGCAGCTTTTCAGCTTGCTCCGGAGCAAATTACCCTCCTCCATCCCCAGCTCCACCTTTCGCCACAGTCAGGACTTTCAGGACAGACAAGCTTTCTGATATTCCTTGGTAATCAGACTCCTTTATCTTGAATAAAGTGTTACACTTACATATCATTAAGTACATTAATGATATCTGCCTTGTTCTGTTCTGTTAACCCTAGGGGGGTTATTATTGCTGCTCTCCCTGCTCATTCATGACAGGCTGCATGGATGGGCAGGGAGTTTTTTGCCCAGAACAGAACCATACCGCCAAACCAAACTTTATGCTAAGTATCTATCATTTTGACGATAGTGGTCCTGACAGAATTGTCATTTTTGGGCGAACTATCGGTTTAATAAAGTATTAAATAAAAAATAAAGCTTTTCTTTATTTTAATAAAAGTACTTTAAAATATTTTTAAATAATTACTACTAATGTGTTTTCTTTCAGATTTATCACTGTCTGAAAAATAAATCAGAAAAAAAGTGAAGAAAAAAAAACAGTAAAACTACATATATTAATCTTTTACTGTTTTGTTCATTAATAAAAGCCAAAAAAAGAAAAAAATTACACTCTTAATTGAAGAAAAGTGGCAAAAATACACAAATAATAAATGATAGAAAATAACTCTTAAATCCAAAAAGCAATATTACATAAATAGCCTACATAACAAAATTAAACCTGTATGTTTTTTTTTTTTTTCTTCCACACAAAAGCAAGATACTATATAATGAAATTACAGGACTTTCAAGGACTTTAAGCATGATTTTTTTGCTTTTCAAGGACTATAATCAGAGATCTCATTTAAATATTTAAATATACTAATAAAACAAAAATTGTACAAATAAAGTACATTTATGCAATGACTGTGGCAAAAGTATGAGAACATTATCAAAGCCCATGATTTCAACATTTCATCTTCTCCCAATCGAAAAATAGTACTTTTGCAAGCATTCAACAAGGTTTTGTCTTACATTTTTAGTTCTTTTGTTTAGTTTGTACTAGTAGCTCTCTAGAAGCCCTGTCTAAGTGGTGTGGGTTATGGCAGATTTAACAGATCTTAAAGTTAACTTTCAGGAATTTTCTAAAATGATTAAATCTCTTGGTTTGGGGGAGGTCTTGAAAAAATATCGAAAAAATTAAATGTTAAAATTATTTTGTAATTTTATCAAGGACTTTTTCTACATAAACTACTGTGTTTCTGAGGATACTCACAAAGACAGGTATTTTGAGATCATTTCGTGCGTATTTATTCTTTCAAACACAAGAAGTCGGGTAAGCGAACTGAATTTGGTATTCGCCACTGTCTGAGAGACAGCTGCACGAAAAAAAGTGCACGAGTAATGAATACTCAGTTCTCTTTTGTGTCTTCTTGTGCGTAAATAGTTTTAAATTTATTGAATGCTTAAACTAATAAGACTTAAAAACATGTGCAAATTATAAACTTTCTGGCCCAATCTGACCGTGACGATTTCCTCATCTATTGTCTACAGCCCTGGGTCATCAGGCAGTCCTTATTGTCAAGCCCGGTTTCATATATATTGTATTTCAGTAATTCAAGTACCGCTTCTTAAACATGTCTGTTTCCAAGGGTTTTCTGGTACTTCAATTTCAGAAAGCCAAATTGAAGTACTTCATGCACTTTAAGCACCTTGTTCGAACCCTGCAAAAGGAACACCAAAGGCGATTGTGACTGTCAAAAGACTTGTCAACAAAAGGAGAAAATGAAGTGTAATAAAATAGTCCATATGGGTAATATAGACAATATGTGCACCATCTTCCAAGTTTCCTACCATATTTTTGCCCTATGTGAGAAATTATTGATTTTTGATTCATTATGCACAAGGTCTTCCCTTATTGTGCATTAAAATCTGGCATGTCAATAATACACGTTATACATACAGAAGTGCTGTGAACTCAGGGAGGAAACTGCACACAAACTTCATCCGCTTTTGCATGTATCATCAACTCATTAACATTACATACTGTACCTGTCTATTTTTTATTTTTTGTTACAGAAATTTGAGCAAAAGAGCAAAACTGGATGGGTTGGACGGGTGAGTGCATGCAGCAATCACATACAATCTCCAAATTATTGAATTTTTGCTAAAGATGATGCTGTGAAACCTTACAATTCATGGCCTGTGTTTCCCCTCACAGTACTTTCCTGCAGCTCCTTACTTTGCTGCAAATAACATGAGTTTTTACAAAGTTATGAGCAATGACAAAGGTTATAAACATCTCCACTATGTGGATGCCGTAAGTATCATAGTATTATTATTATTTTGTATTTTTATATTCATTATTCAAATACCTGCTGAGCTTTAGTGCGTGAAGCTCTAAATCTTACAGCAATGGTTCTGGAAGTACCAAAAAGTCTTTAATTTTCTCCGTATATAAATTGGTTTTAATGCCATTGTCTTTTAATACAGATACAAAGATTATATTATATGCAAATGGAAGATTGTTGTGATTCATCTCAGAGCTGGTTGGTTTGGTGCATGATTATGAAATCCCTAAGGAGAATATGAATGGGAACAGTACATCCAGAACCAATGCCGCTGAAACAGTAGGCGGTCACTGTTGAGCTCTATCGTGCAAACCTCAGATATATCATTTCACTGTATTACAGGCTATAATATGTTATATCCTTTGGCCAATAACCATTAAAAGTGAGACACAAAGAAACACTGTGGTACAAGCTTAGCCAGCTGTTGATCTGTCAACTGTGTTGTTTTCTTTGTAGGGAAAAGCAACACCCATCACCTCAGGCAAATGGGAAGTGATATACATCTCAAAAGTAACCAAAGATTCCATGTGCGTATGAGAGTGTAGGAGTCTTGTTTTGTCATGAGCTTCTCATGTGCCTTTATTTCCAAACTTTCCCGCACATCTAAAATCTATTCTTTCCACAGATACTACGTGAGTAATGAACACATGGGAAGACCTGGACAGAGAAACCTTTACAAGTAAAAACGCCTTTTTGCATCAGCTTGTATAAGGATTCTGTTTTAATATTCTAAATATTTTACATTTGAAATATTAAAATAGGAATTTAGTTTAGTTTAGTTTTTGGAGTGTCTGTATTCCTCTGATGATGTGGACAAAACGCCTAAATATAATATGCAGTACACACATCAGAGCCACTATAGAGACAGTTCATCAAAAAAAAGGAAATATTGTTCATAATTATCAGTGTTTATTTACCTCATGTTGTTCTGAGCCCCTATGCTGTTATTTTTTCAGTGGAACACAAAAGCAGAATTTTTAATGCATGCAATTTTCATTCAACCTGCCTATACAATGACAGTTCATGACTGTCAAACTTCAAAAGGACAAAAATAAATAAATAAATGCACATTATAAAAATAATCCATACTGTAAAGGTTCTTCAAATTTCTCATTCTGTGGGGAAACAATATCAAAAATGTGACCCTGGACCACAAAACCAGTCATAAGGGTCAATTTTTCGAAATTGAGATTTATACATCAACTGAAAGCTGAAGAAATATTTCCATTGATGTATGGTTTGTTAGGATCGGACAATATTTGGCCGAGATACAACTATTTGAAAATTTGGAATGTGAGGGTGCAAAAAAATGAAAATATTGAGAAAAAAATACTAATGCTGCATTTACATGATCAAAAATACAGTAAAAAATAAGTAATAATTAGAAATATTATTTCAATTTAAAATAACTATTTAAATTGTATTATTAAAATGATTTACCATTTCAATATATTTTAAAATGTAATTGTAAAATGTAAATGGAATCCTGTGATGCAAAGCTGAATTTTCTTCAGTCATTCTTCCAGTCTTCAGTATCACATGATCCTTTAGAAATCATTAATATTGCTGCTTAATATTATTGTGGAAACCATGATACAATTTTTTCAGGCTTTTTTGATGAATAGAAAGTTCAAAAGAATCGCATTTATTTAAAATAGATTTTTTTTGTACTACAGTAAAAGTCTTGACTGTCACTTTTGCTCAATTTAATGACTTCCTGCTGAATAAAAGTATGAAGTTCTTAAAATTAAAAAAATGTACTGACCTCAAACTTTTGAATGGTAGTGTAAATGAATAAATTTAAACAAACAGTTTTTATAAAGACACATTAATTTCTTTAAAAGTTAAAATTCCATGCAAGCCTCCCAATTAAAGTTAGCTAATACAAGCTGCATGCATAATAATGATAAAATAATTAGCAAAATAGATGGAGTATAGCATCATAGCAACTATTTAAAACAACTATTTTCTCCATTACAAAAATATCTTGAATATACTGAGTATATCAATGTTTTTTCCACACTTTCCCATTACAGATATGGCGGTCCAGCCAGTCAGAATACAGACTATGTGTTTCGACTGGAGTGGGCCACGTACCTGTGCAGCACAGAGAAGGTCATCATCGCCAGCTTTGATGGCAGGGGAAGTGGTTACCAGGGTGATGAGATAATGCATGCCATCTACGGCCGGCTGGGAACGTACGAGGTGGAAGATCAGATCTCGGCCGTGAGGTGAGGCGTAGGGAACGATGTGCACACGCTCGCCGCTGCCGTCTGTGATGATGATGCAGAGTCATTTAGCCTGATGTAACACTCACAGACGCACGAGAGATATGAGGCAGACCAGTCAGCTTCCTACAAGAGGGAACAAGCTTGTCATGAAGCATGTGTCAAAAACAGGTTGATCGAGGTCAAACGCTAGTTGAGTTGACTGAAAGCAGAGCAGTCTTGAGATTTTCACGAAAAGTGACAAACTATCATCTACAAAGATATATTTTACAAAAGTAGTCATTTTGTTTTGGAATATCTTCGTAATTGTGACTTTGTGCTTAATTTCAGAAAATTCATTGAAATGGGTTTCATTGACAAAAACAGAATTGGCATGTGGGGTTGGGTAAGTGCAGCGTGTTCATGTCTAACAATAGGTTTTATTATGTTGGCTTGGTTGGATTTTAAATTTTAAATCGAAGATTTAAAGCTACACTACTAGTCAAAAGTTTGGAATAATTAAGATGTTTTTGCAAAAAGTCTTCTATGCTCACGAAGTTGCATTTTTTTAAATAAAATAAATACAACAAAATTGTGAAATATTAATACAATTTAAAATACCTTTTTTTATATGTAAATATATTGTAAAATGTAATTTATTCTTGTGATCAAAGCTGAATTTTCAGCATCATTACTCCAGTCTTCAGTGTCACATGATCTTCAGAAATCATTCTAATATGCTGATTTGTGCACAAGAAACATTTCTGATTATTATCAATGTTGAAAACAGTTTTTACTGCTTAATATTTTTGTGGAAACCATGATACATTTCTTTCATGATTACTTGATGAATAGAAGGTTCAAAGGAACAGCATTTAATTGAAATAGAAAACATTGGTAACATAATAAATGTCTTTTCTGTCACTTTAGACCAATTTAATGTGTCATTGCTGAATAAAAGTATTTATTTCTTTAAAAAAAATTTAATAAATAAATAAATCTTACTTTCCCCAGACTTTTGAATGGCAGTGTATACAAAAATATGAAGCCACACAACTGTTTACTAAATTGATAATAATCAGAAATGTTTCTCGAGTAGCAAATCAGCATATTAGAATGATTTCTGAAGAATCATGTGAAGACTGGAGTAATGATGCTGAAAATTCAGCTATGAGCACATGAATAAATTACATTTTACAGTTATTTTAAATTGTAATAATATTTCACAATATTACTGTTTTTATTGTGTTTTTGATCAAATAAATGCAGCCTTGATGAGCAGAAGAAACTTCTTTCAAAAACATAAAAAACTTAATTATTTCAACTTTTGACCAGTAGTGTACAGAAAGTATTTTAACAAAACATTTACATCTTCCAAAAAATATTTTAACAAGCTTTAAATGTTAGAACTCTTTACAGCAGATTTAAACTTTCAATAAGCATCTATCAAAACCATCATTCAGAGTTTGTCTTGATGAACTTCTCTTTTCTAATTAAAGTAAAATAACCTTCACTAAAAGATCTATGATGAGCCTGATGACTGAAAACCATCACACTAATCATGAAACGTTTGTCTTGCTCACAGTCATACGGTGGCTATGTGACTTCCATGGTTCTGGGATCAGGAAGTGGACTGCTCAAATGTGGAATTGCCGTGGCTCCTGTCGCTAAGTGGGAGTATTATGGTATGGATTTGGAGATTTTCTGATTTATGATATGGATTAACCACAAACAATTGAGCAAATTTAACTCACACTGCGTTCTTCACAGATGCCGTATATACAGAGAGATACATGCATCGCCCTGAGGAAAACATGGAAAGTTATAAAGTGAGTTACCCTGTAAGAAAACACAAAATTATGAACAGGCATCAATATAATTCTTCATATATTTGGTTGATATGCTTGTTTGCAGAATTCTACAGTGACCGACAGGGCAAAAAATTTCAAGTCAGTGCAATACATGCTGGTGCACGGCACTGCAGACGGTAAGCAGTGTAAAGTTTATAAATCTGCATTTAGAATCTGATAAACAGACTCTGATCCAACACCTAGTGTCTTGACTACATATGTTTAAAGATGTTTTCTTGACATGTTTTCTGGCTGTTTTGACCTCACTACTCTAGACAACGTCCACTTCCAGCAGGCTGCCCAAATTTCTAAAGCCCTGGTGGAAAATCAAGTTGATTTTGAAGCAATGGTGAGTATAAATGAATGGGTGAAGGTGATGAAAACCATTTTATCAAAGGAATAGTTAATACAGAAATTTAAATTTGCTGACAGTTTACTCATCCTCAGGCCATCCAAGCTGTAGTTGAGTTTGTTTCTTCATCAGAACAGATTTGGAGAAATGTAGCATTGCATCACTTGCTCACCATTGGATGCTCTGCAGTGAATGGGTGCCGTCAGAATGAGAGTCCAAACAGCTGATAAAAACATCACAATAATCCACACCACTTCAGCCCATCAGTTCTGAAGAAGGCGAAAGCTGTGTGTTTGTAAGAAACAAATCCATCATTAAGATGCATCCAGTAAAATGTCGTCTTGTCTGAATCAGGAGAGAAATATGCGCAGATCAAGCACCATTTATAAGTGAAAACAGTCCAGACCCATTCTAAACAAACTTGTTGTTGGATTTTGATGTGAGTGGACAACTGACTTAATTATGGGTTATGGACTCATATTTTAGTGGAAGCAAAAGTTAAAAACGCCTTAATGATGGATTTGTTTCTTACAAACATGCAGCTTTTCACTTCACAAGACATTAACTGATGGACTGGAGTGGTGTGGATTACTTGTGGATTATTGTGATGTTTTTATCAGCTGTTTGGACTCTCATTCTGACGGCACCCATTCACTGCAGAGGATCCATTGGTGAGCAAGTGATGCAATGCTACATTTCTCCAAATCTGTTCTGATGAAGAAACTCATCTACATCTGGGATGGCCTGAGAGTGAGCACATTTTCAGCAAATTTTTATTTTTGGGTGTACTGTTCCTTTAAGCTCTGAAACATCTTGTTTTCTTTAAAACAGTCTAAATGCCTAAATGTGTCATTTTTTCTCAGTGGTACACCGATAAGGATCATGGACTGTCTGGTAAAGCGCGTTACCACCTCTACACACACTTGAACCATTTCCTGCAGAACTGCTTTGCTGAGAAAAAATAAATGGACATATTGATGCATTATGAAGACAAAAATGTTCCTCTTACATTGACACAAACACTGTTAATGACAGATGCTTGACATGTTAGTCTGTATGTACTGTAGAACATGTTGATGGGAACAAACTCTTATGTCAGAGTCAATGACATTTACATGTAAGATTTTATATTATTCTTTTAATATGTGGAATTTGTATTAGCTGTTGTTTTTCTTATCAAATTGCTGTGATGATTACGCTACGAATGTGACCTGATATGAATGCAGTGTATCTCACAGAATTCTGGCATGTTTTATAATGTTACATCTACAAATCGATTGTGGAAGCCATTGTTTTATGCAGTTGTGTTTATGCACTGACTTCAGTGTGTGGTCTGAGCATGTCTGTAAGAAAACTGATCAAGTGAAACATTCTGGATTTGAATGCCTCATGCTTCATACATCCTGAAAACTGAATGAAAAAAGAAAGAACAATATTTCTGTGTGTGAAAATTCTGTGTTTGGATGCTTAATTTCCATTTCACATTTTACATATTATATATTATTATACACTACCAGTTAAAGGTTTGGACACACTGGACTGAATTTTTGTACTTCTATCTCTGTCATTTAATAGTTTTGACAATTTCGTCACACATTTAACTGGTACTGTATATATATCATAGTCTATATCAGGGTTCCTCAAATCTTGCCCTGGAGGTCGAATGCGCTGCAGAGTTTAGCTCCAACCCTGATCAAACTCAGCTACCTGTGATTTTCTAATGATCCTGAAGACATTGATTAGCATGCTCAGGTGTGTTTGATTAGGGTTAGAGCTAAACTCTGCAGGAAAGTGGATCTCGTGGGCCAGATTTGAGGATCCCTGGTCTATATGATGGTATATGAACAGTGCCACCTGCTGGTTGAACTACTGAAATGTACAGCAAAGGGAAGTTGCTTAACAGGCCACTTAAGAGCACAGATAAATGTCATTCGCTGATGTTATAAATATATCAACTAAAACCCACATTAATTAAATTCAAGAAATATTAACAATAATAATGTACAGTCAGACAATCAGGACTTTAAGTGGCACTTTTTACAGGGCACTCAACAAATATGGACAAATGGACAAAAATATTGACTTTAGAGTTTAAATTATTTAATTATGCAAGAAGACTGACTGTGCAGACTTATACAACAGACGTGAAAGTAGTATTATATTAAGTATTATACCGTTTCTAAATATTCCTGAATAATGACAGCTAAAACACAACTGCTTTATTGCACCACCAATTAAGCTTTTAAACAGTCCAAATTGCTATAACTTGTTTAAAAGTGTTAGTCTAGCTGCCTGCTACTACTAGTTAAAAGGCATGATCAAGTTAGAAGGTTGCCATTACTACTACAAAAGCATTACTAGTTCTATTGAGAATCCTCAGGGGAATTAACAATATAAAATAAAATAAAATACATAAAGTTAGAATCAACTGATCTCTGGGGGACTGAAGCATTAACACTTGATAAAATCTAAAGAATTTAGAAAGACAGTGGAAAAGCATCAGTTGAGAAGTATAACTTATAAACATTTACAGTATATAATAAATTTATAAATAATAGCTTGGAAATAACAGGAGAACACAACTGCCATCTATATATTCAAGTTCATTATACAAAACCCAAACGTATTTAGACACAGATTAGTTGTAAATAAAAGATTATTGGAGTATGTTTTACAAGAAAATACCATTTCAGTCTTTCAAAATTTGTTTTAAAATTGGTGTGTTACTAGTAATTTCTTATAATTATTTGTTAATTTACTAGCACTTTCTAATTGAAAATTGCTAAAAAGTAAACCTTACACCATTTTTTTTTCAGTGTAGTATAAAATTCCTGTATTGTTAAAAAAAAAATTCTTTCTCCCTCATGAGAGAAAAAAAACAAAAAAGCACAAAAAGAAAGCTCTGCAGAGTGCAAACATCACTGCCTGGAAATCTGACTGAATGCATCTCATCCTGAAAGTACCTATGCAATTATTTGTTCTTCTCTGTTTTTAACAGGACATAATCATGTTTGACTTTGCCCTTAAGTGACTTTTTGACTTGTTTGACCATTTCCCCATCTCTCTTTTTAAACAGGTTCACAGTGCAAATACATTGATGCATTGAGATTAATGGATTGAAACTAATAAGTGTGTGTGTGTGTGTGTGTGTGTGGATCGTGCCACCTGGGCATCACTATATAAGACTCAGAACATCAGGCTGGGACCGTGAAATCGCGCTGGGAGCCAAGAAGGAGAAACCAGCGAAGCAACATCAAAATCTTTGGCTTTATTTCTCTGTGACGACCCAACGCAATCCGGGTGAGCCTGAGAACTTTTTGGCACTATACTATGTGTCATTTCAGGTAGAATGCATTAATGGTTTACTGAGTAGCTGTATGGTCTGATCCTCAGGTAAGATGATGACAAGGATCTACGCCTTCATTGGACTTTTACTTCTCATCCTGATCCAGAGCAGCCTGCAGACTCCCATACAAGAAAACATGGAAGAAAACTCCAGGTAAGATCAACTAAATTCAGAATTATTTAATTTTTTAATGGCCTTTACAGATGGGATTTGTATTCTAACCTTTGCAAACAAACAGTCTGTGACACATTTAACCTCAAAAGGGAACTGTAAGCTGTTTAAAGAAAATTAAGCATATTTTTAAGGTTTTATTTTTAGATTTTTATTTACCTTATGACAATTAAATGTCAGAAAATATTTCTAATTTTGCTGCAAACTTTAAAAAAAAAAAATGTCATTAATAAATTAAATGCATGTTTTGTTTTTTGTTTTTTGGGGGGGGGTTGAAATATATATCTTATGTTTGGAGAATGATGCATTTGATATACATTTTCAGCCTTATGTCTGAGGAGGCACTATTTAATGACCCAAGAGAAGTAAACAACATGAAGAGACATTCAGAAGGCACATTCTCAAACGATTACAGTAAATACCTTGAGACCAGGAGAGCACAAGACTTCGTTCAGTGGTTAATGAACTCCAAGAGAAGTGGGTAAGCTTAAATTCTGTAAGTTCTTGCGAAATATTTAAGAACAGGTAACAAAACAACTCTATGTGTGTAGACTCTATTTAACTCTGTTGTATAATTTTACATGACATTCACTAGTTGGAAATTCATTTAAATCATAGCAATTCCCACATGACATGAATACAGCATTAGAATGGCTAAAAATTACTTATATTTGATATAGAAAGGAAAAAATTACCAAATGGCGATAATCATATAGAGTAAATTTACACAATTCAAAAGGGTTTTTTATGTTTTTGAAAATCTCTTCTGCTCACCAAGGCTAATCTGTATCAATTTATTTGATACAGTAAAAACAGTAATATTGAGAAATATTATTAGAATTATTATTGTTTTAAATGGGAGTATATAGTATAGTAAATGTAATTTATTCCTGTGATGCAAAGCTGTATTTTCAGCATCATTACTCCAGTCTTCAGTGTCACATGAACCTTCAGAAATCATTCTAATATGCTGATTTGCTGCTCAAGAAACATTTCTGATTATTATCAATGTTGAAAACAGTTGTGCTGCTTCATATTTTTGTGTAAACCATGATACATTTCTTTCAGGATTCTTTGATGAATAGAAAGTTCAAAAGAACAGCATTTACTTTAAATACACATCTTTTGTAACATTATAAGTGTCTTTACTGTCACTTTTGATCAATTTAATGCATCCTTGCTGAATAAAAGCATTAATTTCTTTACTTTTGAACAGTACTGTAAATAGATGCAGTTTATTATTAATGTCCTTTTTCAATCAGACATGAAGAATGTCACTCTTTCCATAAATAATCATTATTTTTTTCCCCCAGAGTCCCCACACGACGACACGCAGACGGCACATTCACCAGTGACGTCAGCTCTTACCTGCAGGACCAGGCGGCAAAAGAGTTTGTGTCCTGGCTGAAAACAGGGAGAGGACGACGCGAGTGAGGATCCACGACAACGAGATAAAAACTAGCCTGCATAACTGTGATATTCGACACTGTTTTATAATGACTAGTGCTGTCAGTTTCATTGAATCATGCAAATAAATCTTTCTTCAAATTAAGTGCTCGGTGTTTTGATTTTTGAGCGACTCTGTAATCCAATTTTTAAAAAACAATCCAGACTATGTTTCAGTAATTTGAGGATAAACGTGGTTAAAAATGGATTGTGCAAACTACATTGTGTTTTGTGTATTTAAATATTGGCTTTTTGCCAATTATTGGCAAAATAATTGAAATTCAAGACATTTAAAAACTAAAACTGTCCATTTATGTTAATAATCTTGAATACAGTTTGGCCTATGTTGTTCAATGTAATACATTTCAATATTTGATTATAAGGACATTTTCTTAAAGGGGTCCTATTATGCTCTTTTACAAAGTCTTGATTTTGTTTTGGGGGTGTACTAGAACAGGCTCTCATACTAGGTTTTTCGAAAACCAAATACACAAAATAATGTTCTTTTTAGCAGCATCATATGACCCCTTTAAACCCGGATGATTGTAACCACTCTAAGTTCGTCTGCCTTGGGAAAGCTAGCGTGTCTCTGACATAGTGATAACACTCATTACCAGGTCTCGTCCCATTCGTCGATCTTTGTGATATCACAAATCCCGGAAAATGTGCGTTGTAGTCCAAACGAGTCGTTCGTTGTAGTTTTTGAAAAGTGATTTCTGTTAAATAAAATATCTCCTTTTGAAGTGGACTTTGAGCTTTGTAACTTCGCAGATCTTTTTTATGCTCAAACAGCAACATTACAGACTAACTAAAGTTGAAAAAGTGAAAAAGCATAATAGGACCCCTTTAAAACATAGTTTTAAAGAAACTATTTGGCTACTGTTTTGAATTAACAACACAGTGTAAAATCCAATGTAAAGTCCTGATGCAAAATCCATTGAAAAGCACTCTTGCACAGAGTTTAAGAAGATACAACTTAAATTACAACTTAAAAGGCAAAAATTTGACATCTATCCATATAATACCACACTGTCCCTTTGAGAAACACACTTCATGAACAGTTAAAATGCTATTTGTCAAGCTGACATGCAAGCGAATGCTGCAAATCAAACACAATTCATGTGGGAAAACAACTGCAATTAAACAGAATATCCATGCGTCAAATGGCGTCAATCATTCTGTCAGTATAACAAACAAGAGTTCAGAGTTCTGCGTATGTGAAGCTTGAACTCCGCTCAAATGATCTTCCCCCATAATCCCTGAGGAGAACGAACTTCAGCGCTCTAAACTGGCCCGGTGTGTCACTTCTGCTTACCTCACCGTATCTAACACGATACTGACAGAAGACGGGAGTCACCAAAGCCTTGAGGAAATGTGTCAATTATCCAGCACTGTCAGGCACCCTGGGACCGCTCATCTCCAGTCCTTCAACAAGGAGAAAACGGCACCGGTGCCAGAGATGCAGTCCACCC